TTTTACGAGCTTCTTAAGGTGCTTAATAATAAATTTATAATGTTGACCAGACCACACACTAGAAGGTGAAGGGACGACGACGTTTCGGTCCATCCTGGACCATTCCCAAGTTGATTCCTTCTCAATTTATAACATTTGCGTTCTTAAAAACGCAATATTCCTCCAGGCACACAACACTTGGAGGACTTCCTGTGCACACGTGTGAAGGCAGACCTTAATAGTGTTGCAGCTGGTGTTATCCCGGTGATGTGGGCTGTAAGACTTGGCTGTGATGTCTGGCCGAGGACACTTTGTCTGCCTTATACCTGGAGTTACCTTTCCCCACCATATGGTCCGGTGTTCCTTGCCCCGCATCTTCATTACTTTACACTTACAAGGACTGAACTCTAGCACCCACTTGTATGACAAGTGTTGTAGTTCATTCCCTTCTTCTTTGATGTTTACCTAATTCATCTTCTATTCTTATCCTCATCAACTACTCATCGACTGCAAACATCAACACGATGGAATGTGTCGTCGATCTGATTGATGGACAAGTCCTCTTCCCCCATCTTCATGTTAAGGCTTTCTGTCCCTCAATCTCAATCTTAATCTTCAGGCTTCAAGTTAACGGGCCGGTTAACTTGGTCTAAATCGCCAATTTGAGCACGAGATGTCTATCAACGACTTTCTGACAGTCTTGGAATAGACTGTCCACCCTTGCCTCTCCTCCCTCGTGGTTCCTGTCACCATAAAACTCTATAAGGTTTGTAAAGTAGGATCTGGACCTTTGAACTCGTGCCAGTGTTTCCTAATGAAATCTTAGCTCTCAAGATGTTCCAGTAATCTTGTTTTTGGTATCCTCTCCATTACCCTGTGTGTGTGTGTGCGTGTGTGTGTGTGTGCGTGTGTGTGTGTGCGTGTGTGTGTGTGCGTGTGTGTGTGTGCGTGTGTGTGTGTGCGTGTGTGTGTGTGTGTTTGTGTGTGTGTGTGTGTGTGTGTGTGTGTGTGTGTGTGTGTGTGTGTGTGTGTGTGTGTGTGTGTGTGTGTGTGTGTGTGTGTGTGGGTATTTTCACCTTCAGTGTTGGTATGGTGATGATATATTATTTTGTTCGTATTCAGTTGCGTTAGTATTTTATGGTGTTGGATATTAAATATGTTCAAGTGCCACCAGCAGCAGTAGCAGCAGCAGCAGTAGCAGCAGTAGCAGCAGCAGCAGCAGTAGCAGCAGTAGCAGCAGTAGCAGCAGCAGCAGCAGCAATAGTAGAAGTAGTAGTAGTAGTAATAAAAGCAGTAGCAGCAGCAGCAACAGCAGTAGCAGCAGCAGCAGCAGCAGCAGCAGCAGCAGCAGCAGTAGCACCACCAGCAGCATCAGCAGCAGTAGCAGCAGCAGCAGCAGCAGCAGTAGCAGCAGCAGCAGCAGCAGCAGCAGCCTAAAAAAGCAGCAGAAGTCAGCGCGGCACCTGCCTAACCTAAGCCAACGCAATCAGACTAAAACCCCGGCTGGCGCAAGCAAGAGCAGCGCCCCGTAGCAGCCAGTCAGTCACCGGCCGGGCCTCAGTCACCAGTCTGTCAGTCAGTCACCGGCCGGGCCTCAGTCACCAGTCTGTCAGTCAGTCACCGGCCGGGCCTCAGTCACCAGTCTGTCAGTCAGTCACCGGCCGGGCCTCAGTCACCAGTCTGTCAGTCAGTCACCGGCCGGGCCTCAGTCACCAGTCTGTCAGTCACTCACCAGCCAGTTACCAGTCAGACAGCATTCCGCTGCGTTAATTTTTTTTCCACTCGGCTGCCCGCGGAGTGCCAGAAGGGGGGTGGGGGGAAGGGAGGGAATGAGAGCCTAGCAACGGGTGTGAGGGCCACGGTCCAGGGGAGGGGGATAGGGGAGGGGGCAAGGGGAGGGGGGGGGGGCTAGAGGAAGGGGCTAGGGGAAGGGGGGGGAGGAAGGGGGAATATGAACAGACAGCCTACGAAGGAGGAGGAGGGGGAGTGAAGAGAAATATCAGGAGAAAGCGCCAAGCCATTACGACTATATAGCACTTGGAAGGGGATGAGAATAAGGATTTGGGATGGGACGAAGGGAAGGAATGGTGCCCAACCACTCGGACGGTCGGGGATTGAACGCCGACCTGCGTGAAGCGAGACCGCCGTTCTACCGTCCTTCCCAAGAGGTTGGGAAATAAATTGAAATAACATGAAAGAACGAAAGTATTATAGTTCGTTGCCCGAGGGAGGGTGGTAGGGGCAGACATGCCCCGAGGGAGGGTGGTAGGGGCAGACATGCCCGAGGGAGGGTGATAGGGAGGTGACAGGCAAAGGGGTTCGACCCCCGCAAGAAAGGTGAACCTGCTAGGCTACCATGAAGCTCGGATCACTATGCCCTCTCATCAGGGATCTAGATGAAGTAAAGTGTAAAGTGTGTGGACAAAGACAGTCACACACTAGACCATTATATATCTTGGACTGTGAACAAATTGAGCTGCTTGAGATACTCTAAATTCACGACCAATAAATGGCAAGCCATATCATTACAAATGATTAAATATCTGAATTCCTTGCACTGTATCCATATTTCGCTTCTAGTAGATAAATGATATATAAGACAATAATAAATAAGCCGTGTAGTGTGAAGACTATTATGTAAAATATTTTAAGTATTTGCAAAAGACTTACCATCAATGAATAATAATTTATTGTAATTACATAAATATTCAATGAAAAATGTCTGTAAGTAGCTGACATTATAATTACATTGTATGCAGGTTAGATGTAATTGTTAATGTAATAATCTCCGTTGAGGTCTGATAAAGACCTTTTGTGCCCTCTGTAGTCCTTTCTGCGCTATCGCTCACAGGATGAGTATGGGGTGCACAATAAACTAGCCGCCTACGGTGGCAACGCTGCAAAATCTCATCAACGTCACCCTCGAAATACACTCACCATTATATAAAAATATATTACTAATACATTTTAATATTTATATATCAAACAAATAATACAAAAAACAAATGTATTCATGACAGGTCTCTGTAAAATTAATGATGAAATTATAAAAAAATTAAACAAAACATTTATATGTATAGAAACTTGAGAATTAAAATATACTTTTGACATCTGACAAATATATTGGTTCATAATCTACTTGATAACATTAGCAGTTCACTAACATGTATACCTGCATTTTGAGCGACACTATCTGAACCGGAAATGAATCGCTTAAAAATGTCCTCGTCTAGGTCAATGCTTCAACCTGCAACATTGCAGGAACCAACCAACTTTACCTGCCATTTAAAAAAAAAACTCCAAGTTGCAGAGCGAAGCAAGCGTTGCAGGCTGACGATAAGGAAATGTAACTAGAAATTTGTTGGAGAGTCGTATCTCATCATGAATGAATCTTTGAAGCTCGACTCGGTTCACGAGAATTGCTGTCGAGCGTGTTCTTGCCGGCCGGCGCCCCGGTGACGATGATATATTCAGCCAGCCGTGCATTATGCAGTCACAAGCCACTGACTGCCAATTATAACAGGCTATATGTTACTGCGCTTGTGAATGAGATAGCCCCCCTGCCTGCTCGGTTATCACTGCCCGTGGTGTTATCGTTGCTCGTGATGTTATTAATGCTAGAGCTGATATGTGCCAATGCTGTTGACACCGAATAAATACATCGAGCTGAAGATATAAACAACAAACCATTAACAGACATTATTCAGGATTGTAGTGTGACACATCCATGGACGCTCACTCTAAACCTGGTGTAGTCAACAGTGTTCTCTCCTCCTCACTCTTCTCTTCCTTCCTTTTTCTCTCACTCTTATATTTTTTGAAGAAATAACACCTATTTTTTTCATCAAAACATGTGAAACGAAACTAAAATCAATTAATTTTTTATGTATTTACAAGTAAGGAAAATCTTTTTAAGCACGTATCCTCATTGCTCATTCCCGCGTTGTCTCTTAAGTCTTTCTCACCATGCTTGTCTTTTTTAATTAGGAAATATCATTGCTATTTCTAATGATAGAACATGCAAAAAACTCTTTCTCTGTCAGCTTCTGTCTCAGTCTCTCTCTCACCAGCGTAAAGTTTCCAAGCTGATCCTGAAGATGTGCTAATAAATGAAAATGAAGATCCTGAAGATGAGCTGAAGATGAGTTATAGTGTTAACAAAGGCAGAGTGTAACATAACAATATGTATGTGCAAGCTATTTGGAGACGTCCACACCACTAATTGTAGTGAACGAATTGCTTTTGGAGTGACAGTGTGTAATGGTATAAAAGCATGTAGGCTGTGTTGGGTGTTTGAAGTCAAGAAGGCCTTAGCTGTGTGCCGGGTAATTATGTCAAATAGCTGTACGTCGGGTGTTTAAGTTAAATAGGCCTAAGCTATGTCGGGTGTTTATTTATCGACTTACAATGAATGTGTTCCTGGAAACACAGTAAGGAACAATACTGTACCTAAAGAATAAGTGCAGGTTTTTGTATATGTACAATTATATTCTTGAACACTTTTCCAAGTACAGTTTTATTCGTGTACACTTTTAGTGTTATTCCTGTACACGTGCACAAGAACAGTTTTGAACAAGTACGGAACAGTTTTGTACAAACATATAGGCGCTTCCACAGCTAGGTGAGCTGACCCCTAGGTGAGCTGACCCCTGTGCTCGGGGGCACTGTTACAGCCACAAGATCACAGAAGAAAGGCTTCAAGGTGACGATGTTTTAAACCACAGTTGTCCACATTTGTCTGTTTAGAGAATGCGGGTCTGCTGACTGTTGCTCCATTGGTCTCGTTCTGTCATGTGTTCTTATTCCTCCATACATTGTCTGTTCACACCACACTCATCTTGCAGTTCAGACAACATCGCTTGTATTCCCGGACACCTTGAAGTTTTAGCACTTCAAAATTGTCTGTAGAGATTTTTCTTGACCGATTTAATTGTGTATATGAATAAAAGTATTTTTTAAATAATATTTCGCATTGCGAAATGTACTATTTGCTGGTCTCTAATGTGTTATTATATCTACAGGATGTGTGAGGAGCGTGGGCGTGAGGCGGGTGAGGTGAGGAGCAGGATGGGTGGCCAGCGGTCCGTGTGGGCGCTGCGGGCAACGCTGCTGCTCTCCCTGGGGTCGTGTCTCCTCTGTGTGAGGACGAGCGACGGCTCCCGAGGCCAGCTGCGCCTCATGACCAAGACGGTGACGGAGGGGGAGGTGCTCCCCCGCCCCGGGGCCTCCACAAGGGAGAGGGAGATCGCCGCCATCTTCAGGGGCGTCGCCTACGGTGCCCCCACCACCACCACCCTCACTCCTATTCCTCCTGCTGCTCCTGAGGCAGACCAAGTGCTGAAAGCTCTCATCCTGCCTCAGGGGTCCACTGCCTCGGGCGAGGGTCGTAATAACAACCGCAGCTTCCTCGGGCCGAAAGCCGAGTATGAAATACCCAGCAGTAAGAAAGGCAGTTACCAGGTTGACATTGTGCCCGTGAGCGGCGGGGGCGCCACCCCTGGGGCTCCTGGCCCTGGTGCCGGCCAGGAAGGTTCTGATGACTCCCCAGGAACCGTGGCTCCAGGCCAGGGCGGGTCTGTGCGGTCGGACACTAGCGTGAGCACGTCTGACGTGCGGGTGAGCCTGGGTCTGGCCTGGTGGGCGCACGTGTACGTGTCTGTGGGACTGTACAGCCTGGTGGCTGTTGCGTCACTCTGCCTCCTGGCGCGGGCTGTTGCCGCCACACGCCTCCTCCCGCGCCCTCACTACTTCTTCCTCCACCTTCTCATCTTCCTCTCGGCCTCGTCGCGCGGCCTCTGCCTCCTGCACGACGCTCACACTCTCCACCACCTGCTGCCGGCCGCCGTACTCATAGCCCTGGAGGACAGTGGCTGGCCATTCTTGACAGCAGCGCTGGCAGTGATGGTGGTGGGCGTGGTGGGGCTGTGGCACCACCCACGCCGCCCCTGCACAGCCCTCACTGTTGCTCTCATCACCGTCACTCATCTTCTCTTGCTTCCTGTCACACATATGACTATGAACTTCCTGGAGCCCCAGGATCTGCCCATCATGGTGACCACAAGGGCGGCAGCTGTTGCCTGGGGCAGTGCCCTAGGCGTGGGCAGCGTGTGGGCGGTGTGGCCGGCGAGCAGAGGGCACCCCGCCCAACTGACCGATGCTGTGGGTCCCGGGCAGGAGAGCTGCCACAGCGTCAGCACCCCCGCCCACGTGGTGTTGGTGGGCGCCCTCGCTCAACTGCTACTGGCGGCCCTAAACCTGTATGTTCTGGTGGTGCCAGTGACCCCAGCACACGAGGCGTGGGCGTGGTGGTGCCGCTTAACCCTGGCCAATGGGCTGGAGGTGCTGATGGGCGGCATGCTGCTGACGGCTGCTGCCCTTACTATCAGTCGGCCGACACAGTGCTGTGCCCTCAACTGCTACTGCTGCCAGAAGAGGACGGTGGAGATGGTGCACCCGTCATCCATCAAGATGATCCACCCGCTCGGGGTGTACACGCTGCAACAGGCCGCGCCCAAAAATGAACACGCTCAAACCATCGCTGCTCTGTCCCTTAACAACTACCAGAAGGTGAAGCGCGAGCACAAGAGCCTCGACTACGTGACTTCTGACTTCCAGTTAGTGTGGAGCCACGTGCGGCCGCTCACAGCCTCACAGACAGCCGGTAACCTGGATGCCGAGGATGACGTCTTACAGTTCCGTCTGGGGAATGATCCCGACATTCCCAGAGCGCACATCTTGCCTCTCACTCCACGCAATGTTATCAAAACTCCCACAAACCCTGAAATCTTCACTTGTTCGCTTCCAAGCTACAAGCTGTACGCTGCGGTTCCCGAGAGCAGTTACCAGTTCGACGAGCAGATGAAGGCATCACTGGAGTGTGGGCTGTCCCACGGGGCATCCCACAGCAAGCAGTGTGCCACGCCCCTTTCTGACTCCAGCGAGGCCACCAAGCTCTACTCCTCACCACAAGTCCCCCTTAGAGCAAGTCGCAGTTGGGACGAGCTCTCCACCAGCCACATATACGAAGAGCCACAGCGGACGTTCTGCGGGTCTGTAGACGAGGGGCTCTCAGATCTCTCCGACGTGAATGGTCTTTCTGACCTCTCCGACCTGCCCACTGACTACCTGAGCGACCTGCTCTACAGCGACACCGGCAGTCCTTTACCGATGCGGCCTCCCCAGCGCTCCAAGAGGCGTCACCGTAAACCTTGTTACGTTAGCACTAGTCCACCCTTACAACACTTCATACCTACACACCATCCCACAACCACAACCTCTCATCAAACATCATCTCAAGAGTCAAAAACCCGCCAGTCCACTAAACTGAGAGAGTTGCAGCCAGCCCCGGGGCCTGCTGGTTCTGAATCCACCCAACCAAACAGTGCTCAACCACTTTCCACTCATCGTAAGGTTCCCAAGACGCAAACTACCCTCCTTCCACCCGCTCACCGCCCTCTTCCACCCACACAATAGGCGCCACCAGGGTCATCCTTTTGCTTATGGTGGTTCACCTATAGATATCGACAATAGTGTCAACTCGAGCCTGTCCGCCCCTAGGGCTGGGCTTTAACGTTACCCATTTAGCTTGTCGATGGTAATGAGTGTGACCCATAGAGAACACTGCTGTGTTCTACCCCTCAGTCCTGGCGATAAATATAAGGCAGCCATGTGAACAGTCATCAACAGACCCCTGGAGCAAGAGAGGAACACTGTCTTTATTTATTGACTCAGGGGACCCACGAATGCGCTTCTTGTGCGCTTCTCCGCTGCGCTAGGCTCTTATTCTCAAAGACCTTCGCCTTCTTGCTTTTTCAAAGTTCACAGAGGTGGTAAAGAAAAAGTCTGAACGGCCTTCGTGGACTCATAACTCTAAACACAGGAACTAGCTCAGTAAGACTTTCTCAATTGGTACAGGAACTCTGAACACTTACGTCTTGCTTGGGATGTGTTATGTGCCGGTGATGTAAGAGTCCAAGACTGACCACTATAAACGAGTGATGTGCTGTCGACTATAATATATGTTCACGAGAATATAGACACCAGAAGGCCTGTTGAGCCATACAAAGTAGCTTTCAGGACTGGTAGCTAAGTTTACGCAATATAGTCATGTGACAAAGTTCTCGGAAAGGCATTTAATTGGCAAATGAACACGATTGACTGTAACAATTAGCAACACTCCCCATGTTTGGCCAACGCGAAACAAGCGACGTGATGACAAGTCTTACTGATTTATCAACAAAAAACCAACGACATAAGTGGTCACAAAAAGGCCAATTATATAACTTACATGTTTCTGCATGTGTGGACTAAAAAATGGAAAAAAATAAAAAAAGGCAGTATTCCCCCGGTGGTGTTACCTTCTCCCCCACTTCCTCACCACTACCCACAGTGTGGTTATTGCCTCCCTCCCCACCGCTGTCCACAGTAGGGGTGGACTTCCCCTTGTCCTCTCACCACTACTACCCGCCCGCCCCAAGCATGGCGCCGGAGGTGTAAGGGCTTCCAGGACCGCCCTCAGTGTGGCTCCAGGCAATATGAGGGGCTTCCAGGGCCGCCCTCAGCGTGGCTCCAGGCGATGTGAGGGACTTCCAGGGCCCGCCATAACATGCTCCCTCACCCCGGCGGCGTGAGGGCTTTCAGGGGTGCCACAAGCTGATAATATCCCTGTTGTGTAAGGGCTTCCAAAGCCACCCCCAGCTTGGCCCTCAACAAGCCTCGGGTTACATGGACCACACCCCGTGTCCACCCCACAACCCAGTGATGTACGTGTGTCGACCTCCGCCAGTTAACCTTAGTATGGAACTCTATTAAGGCAAACTTGTCGTAGTTGGAATAAATGAGGAAGAGAAAAGTGTCTAGTTAACACAATAGAACAATAATGTTATCAG